AAAGCCGAAAAAAATATACTTAAAAAAAAAAAAAAGGATCCTATCCTTCATTCATTTTATTGTTATCTGATCTTATTCTCATTTGTTACTCTTCCTAACTCAGCACAAAACTATAATAAATATATCAAGTGTCCAGAACCACAATTCTACAGTCAGCTTTCATGGCATCTGGAAATATTGAAAATAATTACATTTTGCCATTAGGATTCTTAAATATACAAATAAAGGGCAACATTGCCATTCCATTCTCCCTTCATTTCTCTCACAGTTTTAGCTATAGTTTTGTTCAATTTACTACTCAAATAATTCAATACAGCATGAAGCTGAATCAGAAAACATCCATGTGCTGGGCTCTATTATTCTTAATTCATTATTATGCTTTAATTAACAAGAATATTTAAAAAACTAATTTGAAAAAAAGCAAAAACAGTGATGCAAACTGAAAACAAAAATTCTACTAAACATTGCAATTTTCATTCATAACTTCTAAATTCTTCATTATAATTAGCATAAAAATACACTGAGGGAAACCCAGCTACTATGACCTGAATTCATCATAGATTAGATACAATATGCTCAGGCAGAACTGTTGCAGTAAAATACAGGAAGAGTGGAAACACAGATCAAAAGAAAACCTTCAACGGAGGACGCGTATCACACACTGACAGGCCGAGTGCGGACACGCATCAACACAACATCAAATGTTTACGGCCAAATCTCCAGAAATCACGTTGGAATGACAAGTGTAACTGTGGCCTCGTGCATTAAGACTTTATTTCAGCTGTCAGCGAGGCCATGGCGGACGCTGCAAGCAGCAGAGAGGGAGCGCAAGCAGGAGAGAATCCTTGGCGATCCACTCGTCCCTTCTTATTCTCCATGCTTGGAGGCTTACAGTGAACTAAGCTGGTAGACCAAGATAAGCCTGTTTTTATATAACACTTGTTTGTTTGTTTTTTGTTTTTATTTTTCAGAGTTGAGGGAGCAAAATGAATATATGCACATTGAAACATGGATTACCACACAGAGACAAGGCTATCATGGCTACCAGAAAAAAAAAAAAGAAAAAAGAAAAAACAATAGTAGGGTAGGTTGTTCAAAAACACAAAGGTTAGTTGAGGATTTTACTTAAATTTAACAGTTGTTGTAAATTAACAGTTGTTTAATTTAGAAAAGCTTGGTTTTTGCAATGAAAAAGGAGGAAAACTTTAATGGCACAATTACATTCTTTTCTAAAGTCACTCTCCTGAGCTTGTTCTGTAGTAACATAATTATATTTATTTTGCTCAAAGTCTCTACTAGATCATGATTTCCTCAAACTGTTTTCATGTCAGTGCTGTATTAAATTACAGTTTTCTAATTATCTGACACCCACGGGAAGAAACAGAAAGGCTCTACTTCCCAATCTTCATTGGCATTTTTAATGCAAGAAATCTTTGCTAACTGAGGAAAAACTTAATTTTGAGCCAATGACTTTGTTGCAAAATGATGAAAAGAAGTTAAAAGTTAAACAAACAATAATTACAGAGACTGACAGTGGTTGATGTTCAATAGGCCTAACTCTTAAAATAATCCTGATATTCTCTTTCAACTAGCAAAAGTCCTGGCTTTGTAGTCTTTATACCACTTCTGAACTAAATTTCTTAATTGCCTTAAGAAAAGCAAATGCTAATTACATGTTACGTCAGTCCTGTCTGTCACTGTACTCAATCAGGCCTCCTTCAACTGAACCCCTGCACGCCCACAGTCTCTGCTCGCCAACTCACACCCAAAGGAACTGATTGGGAACCTGTGGGGTCCACTGTATGTAGCCTATTCATCACCCAGTTACTACTCTCCAGATTTATTTTCACAATGTTGCATTGAACTGCTGATTGTAGCCTATGCCATGGTTAATATTGCACTTTTTCAAGCTCATCCTACTAATGCTATATGCTTCTAAAGGTCTTTGCTAACTAGTCTTTTCGCTGGGTTTGAGTCCGACATTGTGGTAAATACGCTTATTCTCCTTATTGCCAAGGGCGAGTTGAAACCACTCTTGTGTCTGTACGCTAAATATGAAGCTACAGAAAGCATGCTGTGAGCTTAGCTTAGCATGAAGACTAAAAGAAGGGTTTAAATAGCTATTGTTTAACACATATTAATTAATGAACCTATAAGAAAGACGTGAGGTGTGCATCTTGAAAGACAAACCTTTCGCTTTAAATGACATGTAATGTATAAGTGGTTGCTCAAAGGGACAAACCAACAGAGAATTTGGGACTCTACAGAGTTTTTAAGTCTTTTTTAGCTTGTCTTGGTTTCATGGCACATTTCACTGTATGGCGGCTTACCAGCACCAAATGGTGGACAGCATTAGCTTAAAGTTGCTCAATTTCATGTAATTGGGCTGTTGTTTGCTAGCATGAACCATAACAATTTTAAGGCAACATGATGATAAGGCTGTGTATGTGTCAGCTTGTACAGTTTTACTGCTGCTGTTGCTACCTTATAAGTGACATATACAACACACCAGTGATTCAATCTACATCAAGTTCACAAATAGCTGCTATCTGGTCTTTGCTTGGGAGTGGTTTTGTGTTGGAACTCAAACTTTTAAACAGTTAGGTCAAAGGAAACATAAATCACAACACCACCTTTACTGTCTGACTGACAAGTGATCTCTGACAAGCCTAGTGTAAAAACACCACAGTAATGAGCCACCACGGGGGTTTAAAACCGGGTCCTCCAAACTGAAGGACAATTGCTTAGCTTACAATGCCACCCTGCTGCCGGAAAGACTGACTTTAAATTGGATTTCAGTCTAATCCTTGCTCTGTCTTTGTCCTTCTGTCCTTGCTTTATTCAGATTTTTTGAGGGTTAACTCCTAAATAGCCTGTATTGCTGTGACAGAGGGATAGTGGGCTTCATACAGTCAGAGATAAGCTAGTGAGACTGAACTGCACCGCAAGGCTTATAATCAATGCCAGTGGATTTCCATGGGGAGAAGGGTGGACTAAGGTTATGCTAACAGTCAGATGTTTGTTAGTAGAGCTGGTGAGCCAGTTCCTCCTCACCATTAACCCCAGGGTTTATTGATTTCTTGTTGCAGGGACGTGTGCACACACATTCACAGGGGTGTCTGCGCGCCCGTGTCTGCAATAACCCACGCTTATAGACCCACTTATACACACAAGCTGTCGCCCATGTTGACATCGTAGCATTCCTCTGGCTCACCTGGGCAGTGGAGGCTTGTCCTACAGTAGAGCTGTCAATGCCTGGACAACTGGCTTGGGTAAGTGGCTGCACTGCTGCAATGTAGTCAATAAAATCCCCTGCTATTTAACAAGGCCTAGCAACAGAGCCGGGTCAAATGCCTTTTCATCTTCTCTGAGCTTTTGTTCTAGCGAGGTGCGATCGATGGAACAAAGCTGTTGATATGCGAGCGATGGCCCCGCACAAGCGTATATGAAAGGAGTGAACGATCATTCGCTCATTTAATTCTGGTCAATGGTGGAGGAAGTCACACATGAAGTTGCAATTCTTTGCCAATTAGGAGGTAGGCCTTATATCTAAAGTCCACCACAACATGCCAACATGTGCCGACCAAGCCAGTGACCCATTTTGAGGCACAAAGCATACAGATTTAATAGCCTAATCTGAACTATAGGGATGTTGTGATTCTGATGAAAACCTCTGATTGGTTTGATATCTTTCATGTGTATACTGTTTAGAAGACAGATAAGACTGGCTGTGCTATGCGATCTATATATAGACCTCTTTGTATTTTATCCAATAAAGCTCCAAAGTGAGCAGCAATAAAACCATGCATACATCATTAAGTTACAAAGCGCAGGAACCAAATGAGAAGTTTAGAATCTCAACAGGGGACTCAGACTCATTATAAGATATTATTGCATCTTGTCACGGCGACGTCCAAAAGCAGTAAGTCTGTGAGTCTCAACCCTCAGTTTAATTAAACCGGGTCACACTTATCAGAAGAATTGGACCAACAAGTATTGTCATAAAAATTTGCATCAAGTAATAGTGATGTAATTACAGAAAAGATTAACTAAACTGTTTCCAACAAGATGCATCTAAAAGTGGCAGGTGGATAATGTAGTTGTGACGTACAGTTGGTCTCTGTGCGAATGGTCTGCCAGCATGAGGGCCCTTCATAGGGGCCGGAGTGTGGGCTGGTCCCCCCCCCCCCTTGAGTGCTTCTTTTCACTGCATAGATTTTCAGCCCTTTCATATTGTAATGGTCATGGTGGCCTGAGGCTGCGGCGCTAACCTTTTAGCTGTGTGGGACGCATTATTCCTGACACAATGGGCACAATCTCCGTCTCGTTTGCTAACACTCTGCTTTATATCTCTCCTTCCCTCTTCATGCCTCCTTCTCAGTTGCCTTCTCCCTCACCAGCTCTCGGGGAGCGCAAGTTTCTCTTCCCCTCCAGCGCTCTCCCTCCCATTTGTTTCCCTTCCTCTCTTTAAAGATGTATTATTCCTCCTCCCGAATGCTCAATTAAACTATTCCAAACCTCTTTTTTAATGCAAATTTCTAATATTGTAACAGTGTATGTAAATAGCTTGCAGCACAATTTGCTGTGCCAAGTCTTGTGCCTTCTGTCTCTGCATGCTCCTTCCGACTGTGCATGCACCTGTTTGTGTGTGTTTGTATGAGACTGCGTGGTGCCATACACCTCCGAGCGTGTTGAGCGAGGCTGTGTGAAGTTGCACACGAGCCCGTCTGGGTGCTCGCCTGCCGGCTACTCTGCTTAAGTGCATGTGTGCTGATACTGTACGTCTGTGCTGTTGCGAGTCCGTGCTACACTTTCACCCGCCCACCACCCACGATGCCGCAACTCCATTATCTGCTGCTGAACACCACCGCTCCTGCACCTTTCCGACAGGCGGTGTCAAAGGTTCAGAGGCGAAAGCCGACGGCGGAGGGGGAGTGGTGTATAATATGTGGGTTTATGTTACAGCTGCTGCGGTAATAACTGCACTGTAGTTTTACAGTCCTGCAGAGTCCTGAGGGGGCCAGTGAAGCCAACATCAAAGGCTTAAACAGCAGCACGCCTGTTTATGCAGCAAAGAGAGGAGGGCAAGGTGAGCTGGTTAATCAGGGGTATGAAGCATAAACACACACACACACACACACACATATACACACACACACACACGAGAAAACACTTCCTGCATGCTCACAAATATGCACAAATAAACACTACAACGCAGTTACTTTGACGCATCCTGTACACTCCTTAACTCGCAAAGAACAAACAGAAAACTCCACACACATGTCCACACACACATTCACAGAAAAAATGAATCAAAGCCATTGAACTAGGCCTGGAGGCCCTGAGAAGTGGCCCAGGTGAGCTCTCTCTCCAAACCCACTCCATTATGACGATCTCCACACAGGCACCCCGGCTCGAGCTAATTAACGGCCTATTACTATGCAGATATATGCGGGGCCAAGAGCAGAGCGCAGGCAATAAAATGGGCTTGATGAACGAGAGAGGGGCAAGAAAAGGGAGAAGGGAGGTGGGGGGTGGGAGGGTGGAGTTGGTTAAGAGGGGTCGGGGCCAGGAGAGGGAGAGACGGGTGCAGAGAGGGATGGGAAAAGAGAAAGTAATAGGCAGACAAGAGGAAGGTTGGGGACAGAAAAGGGAAAAGAGGGCCAGGGGGCTAAAGGGAGGGAGTCAGGGAAGGACGGCGGCATGACAGAGAATGAAAGCATGACAAGTGGACTTTACACTCCTTATTACTTGCTTGTCAGGCTGGTGATTCAGGAATTAAAGGTTATTGTCATAATTAGTAGTTTTGGAGCTTTGAACTCTTCAGTATTTTGGCTCGGGAACTTTTTGAGTAGAGGAACCTCTGAGTCTAATTTCTCAAATTCATCAATAGTCTATTTTCCTAATCTTCGTGGTTCTTCATATGCATTGCAAACATGAACCCAAATAGTAACACACAAGAGAGACACAGAGTTACTGAGTCTGTAGTTTCTGCTACTATTTGACTGAAAAGGGGCTTTTACTATTCCTCTATTTTACAAGGGGGAAAAAAAATAAAAGCCCAAAATGGATAGAGCAAAAGGATATTTTAAATGATGTAAACATTAGGAGAGGAAGTAATGCTGTCATCAATCTACGCTTGGCAAGAAAAGAGAAATCCACTCTGAGTATGCCACAGATGCATTTTCATTTCAGGTGTATCGACACAAAGTGCAGATACCTAAATGCGAGATGCGAGTCTGTGCCAGGTGCAGGAGACAAGAGGGAGAGAGGGAGAGTGTGCAACCCAGTGAATCCCACTCAGCGACTTCAGAGGAGCAGCCAAGAGTCATTTAGGGAATGTCGACATTTTATTTATTTTCATTTAACCTTTATTTAACAAGGCAAGTCAATTAAGAACACATTCTTCATTCATTGTCAGGCCAATCTCACTGTTGCTCGGCTCCCCCCCCCTCTACATCCTCTCTTTGTGTAAGTTCAATTGAAAACCCTCACTGGCATTAAGAGACAAAACCACAATTAAAGCTGAACAACTGATTGAACAAATGTCTTTTTCTGACTAATAATTTTTCCTGACTACTTTAATTGCGATTTTAACTCCAGGCTGTGTTCTGTGGTCTACATGGCATTAAACAAGATCAGTTTGAATCAACCATAATCACAAATGTATCTGGTTTCCACATAAAAAAGAAAAAAGAGATACAATGATGCTGATGCTTGTTGTTGAGGTCTTGCCAAGGTTCTTTTATTTTAAGCCAGTTAGACAGGGGACTAATCTTCTAAGTAAACCAGTTTGCTGCAAGTACACAAATGTCTGCTGAGAAATGATGCAATGTACCTATCTTTTTAAGTTTTAATAACTGACAGATGACCAACAAATTAGTGACTTTTTGAGCAGACATCAGCTTAAAGAGAGTCACCACTATTTCTCATTTAATGTGCAACTTGATTTACTCTCGTATTGACAAGGTTAGTTTACAAGATTTAGTTTATGTCAGTGTTCTACAGCCTACATAAAAACATAATGTCTGCTAACTAGCTTTATAATGATGAAGCTAGTTAGCTTGAGTCACTTACATTTTAACTTCATTTGGGTAACATGTAGTAAATCTTTAAATATGCTAATTGTTGCATAATGACATCTCTGGAGGTTTTATTGAAAGGTTTCAAATTGATAATCTAAAACAATGATAGGATATGCTTAAAAAACTGTAAGATTCTGACTTCTGTCTGCTACCCACCAGCTGTTGGTCACTTCACAGTTCACTCTCCAATTTTCAACATGAACACAGAATAATGTTTCTTTTTTCACAAACAGTAATAATCGTGCAGCACCAGCGTGCAGAGAGCAGATAACATTAAACAGGCAACAGCGGCTGCAGTTCATTTGGCCGCCTCACATAATTAAGTTTGAAAGGTTAATTAGCTACAGCTGAGAGTTGTCATTACATCCAACAAAACGACTAAAACAACTTTAATTTCTACAATTCTTTAAGAGATCTTACTGTAACTGTTACTAAAATTTTGGCTCTCGCTCATTTTTTAAAATTTCAGTCGATTGCAGTTTTGATAGAAGACAATAAAATGTAACTCTAATAAAAATAATATTTCCTCAACTAAAGTAATATTGTTGATGTTAGAAACACTACAGCTACACTATCATTACATACTATTTGTGTAAAGATTGTGTAAGTCTCTCTGTTTAGTCTCTCTCCTTCCCCTGCTTTCTATCTAGCTATCTTTCCTAAATAACCGACTCAGCCATGTATAAAACACAAAAACTGCTCTCCACAAGTGCTGAGTATTACTATACTTAAATTAGGGATAATTCATTTCCAAGAAACACGGCTGACGTATTTTAGCCACCCAAGCTTGGCTGCCCTTCTAGGTCTTGCATGGTTAGGAATCGATTTATTATTTCACTCACCAGTAGTCCCTTCATTGCTTGAGATTTAATTAACTAATTGATTTGTAAAAAGCTTGAATACATTGAATAATGAATTAGCAGAGGTCACACAGTGTTCTTTCCATTCTCCATTATAGGAGTTATTTGCAGGCCAATATTTTAGCATTATTGCTTCTGGTAAGTAACCACAGTCACCTTTCTATTGATCAATGCTTTCCACCAGTCTGCATCTTGCTGGGTGTGTATTGTCATTGTATATTGGAAATAACACTCGGGCTATTTATCTTGCAAAAGATAACTTTTTTCTCACTCCTTTCTTCCACCTCCTTCCAATCCATTCATACATAACAACAAACATTTGCAATCCAAAAGAGAACTTACGATTGGTGGACGCTGCAGTTGTAGAAGACCAAGTCCACGCTAGCAAACTTCTTTCCCGTCTCCTTCGACTTCAGATACAACTTTATTACACGTTGGTCACCTAAAAGGAGTCACAAAACACCATATTACCAGCGCTTTAGTGCTATAGTGAACAACTGATATTATCAAATATAGTGTATGTAAAATGTTTCATGAACCCAGGATCATGCCTGAGCCGGGGCAATGTATTTTGAAATGTTAACAGCCTCATTTTAGGTGTTAGTTGTCAATTCCTATATAGCTGACATTTGGAGCCACAGTGTTTCTGCTGCAAACAAAGCAGAGCCTGGAGCAGAATCAATAGAATTGGTAGAGAAGTTACTCGGTGGAGGAAACGGTTCAGCTGTCTATATACATTTACGGGTTTTGTGAGTTTGTGAATCAGCAGTTTCTTGTTTTGATAATCACAAAGAAATGGTTGCAGTTAAAGAGCAGAACGACTCGTGTTTTCACACAGTTGAATGAGCAGGCTGAATGAAGCAAACAATTTATGTTTATGCAGCATCAAAACTGCTCAACCGAAAAACCCAGAATGACGCAGAGTCTCTCTTCTCTGCAAAATAAAACTTTGTCAAAGCAGCAACGAGGAACTTTCATTTTGTGTTGATTCTGGCAACCCCTGTGGACAAAACCACCTTGTTTTATTGATTTCACAGGGAATTCGACCAAATCTGACCCGGTGGCAGGCATTAAAAATAACTACAAAGGAATATCAAATCTTCTTGCTGACGGTCTAATTTGTTTATGTAGGTCATATAGAGGCATGAGTAAATTAGAGTGTTTCATAACCAGTTATAAACGCCTTGTAGTACATTTAAGTGTCAGAATTGGTCAGGTTGACAACTGTGGTAGCAGGATTTACGGCAACAGATGCCCCAAAGTGTTCAATCTTATAAATTTTAAAATAAGTAGTTGTATGAGGAGAAACATGTGAGAGTGCGGTGACTGTTGACAACACCACTGCCACTGTAACATTATGAAAAAAATGTGTCCGAATGAAAAGTGACATGAAACATAAACGTTATAAGGAAAAATGTCAATATGAAATTAAAACTTTTGAAAAAAGGCATTTTGAAATCCAAAAAGTATAATAATCTTGATTGATATTCAATAATGATCATGAAACTGAATGATGAAATAATATTCAATAATACTGACTTAGCTTTAAGAATGTCTATTTTTACAAATCAAACTTTTTCTTCAGGTAGACCCCAGAAAGCAAAATTAAAAGAGGTCACAACATAAATCTGCAATGCCACACCTTTCAGACACAGTGTATTTTTAGAATTCTGGGATATTTTTCGTTTTACCCTGGTCTCGTGTGATGGGGGCCACCTCTTTTGTAGAGGGAGACAAGCAGAAGATCCGTCCACCGTAGATTCGTCCTTCTGTCTCTACGTAGTCCTCAAAGGAGCAGTTCACTCCAGCAGACAGACTGGGCACATTCTGCGTCTGAATTACCAACTAAGAGAAGGAAGGAAAGCAGAAAGGTGAGGGACAACAACATTTAAAAGCGATATACTTCATTAGTGATGCAATAAGAAAGATATTGACCCACAGCAGAAAAGATATGTGGCTAAAACTTACTTTTCCGTTTGAAATGATGGACAGATTGTCAGTGACAACACAAGAACAAGCTTTATTCAGTCTCATTCCAGATCTATCTTGTTCACTTTTGCTGTCCATCTTTCTTTCTTCCACTTCTCCCCGTCACACAAATAATATACACACTATGACACATCTAAACACACACACTGTACCTGCACTTCTGACATGGTGACAGAGACTGTGTCGGGCTGGACGGAGAGTCGGACGCACTGCTCCACTCTGGTGGTGAAACGCTGAGGCTCCTCTGCTCTCTCGCACCGATCTTTCCTCGAACATCTAGAGACAGAGGACACTACAATCACCATCTCCATCCAGAAACCTTGGTAAGATTGAATTCAGACTTGTTTAAAGTTTTAACACTAATCCTATTTACTGTTGTCCTTGTTTAAGTAAAATATATTTAGTTTGCTGGGTTTCAGTGTTTATTAGTAGGTGTATGGATGTATGGGAGTAGATTAGGGAAGTGAGCAGAAATGAGCAGCGTATATAGTGAAAGGGCTTCACACGGCAGTGACTGGAATAAGGTGTGTTAGTGCAGATATGATAACTAGAAATATTGCACTCTTTCAACGGCACTTAAGGGTGTCGAGAGAGACAGTCTGGTTCTTAGGACCATGAATTTTCTATCCTGTCAAAAATATGTAGTATGTAACCAGGGGTTGCATTAATCAAAATTAATCTATGGCTCACCAAAGTTTAAGAGCGCTTATAAATAATTCTAAGGCTGTGTGAGGAAAAGAAACCCAGTATAGCACCACAGTCGAATATAAAACCAATACACAAGCAGAGTGAACCAAATGTGTATATAGCGTCTGTTCAGGCAGAGCTCTGAAGTTGCACTTGCATTAGCTGATTGGCACCAGCTGCTCATTCATGCTTCACCATCAGTGCCACATTTATCAGCTGGTTGGCTATCGACACAGGTGTACATGGTGGCCTTCAAAACCTGACACTTCTCACTATTACTCTGATGACACGTTCTGTCTGAAGAGCTCCCTCCTTGACCAGAGCCTTTTCCGCTAAATCTAACCGGATATAATTTGCTACAAATGGCGTTTAAATCATTAGGAAATTTAAATTGGCCAACTTGATGCTGATTGGACTGTAAAGAGGTCAGTATGAGTCGAATCATGTGCTTGTGAGATCATCAAGTCAACGGGTACAGCAACTTTTGTAACTTTGTGAACAATTGGCCCTATACGGAGTTAAGTAGGAAAGGTTTGAACTTCTTGCTCCAGCTCCCTTTTCATATGTACAAATGAGGGCTACACTGTCAGTCGCTGTAAAAAAAAAAAGACTGCCTGAAAGTGTGAGGTGTTATCCCCATTTGAAAGATCGTTGCCTCTATCACTGTTCATGGCATGGTGTGGAACTGACTCCATTCTGGTTCATGCTGGTTTGAACCATTCAGAGCATTCAACCAAAAATAAATTGTTTTGGAACCCAAAAGGTTGGATCCCAGCTGGAAACAAAAATAGCATTTTTTGCTTGACCTGAAGTGTGAACAGAGGTGGGTGTCAGACTCTACAGGTTGTTGTGCACTGTGCAATGCCCTCCTGATGATGCGTCCTTGATTACTCAAAACTGGTGGAAACACAGGTTTGCTAGATAGCACCAAGGTTCTAAGAGTCTTGAACTGAATTGGTCCAAAAACCAGAGCTAATTTGGTAGAAAAGTCTGAAGAGTAATAAATACTTTTGCCTGCAGATATGGTTGGGAGAAACTGGTTCATTTTGAGCATACACAGGCCTTGAGTATGAGCTAAATTGGATTAGCAAAGTGCTAACTCATTTTTGATCCACACAATACATATGAATAAATATATTATGGCAGAATTATTAAATATGCATTTTAACACAACCCTTACAAATGTGGCGCACTCTGACATTTGGAGTGTTAACAAATGCAGTGTCAAACAGGTCTACATAATACTGGCCATGAACATAAATATGACTAATAAAAAATGTTGACAGAATTTCCACAATTCTGTCCAGCCCAATAAGAGATTAGAAATAACTGCAGAGCACCCACTTCCTGTAACCCCTGAAATTACTGCACGGATACAACATAGTAAGCAGTTTATGCACTTACACATTATGTAGCACACACCAGCCACAGTGAGGGTCTCCTGATCCCAGGCAGGCTCCACAGGAGGTGTACTGCTCACAACTCTCCACTGGTACACGGGTGACCTGGAAATAAAAACACACACACACACACACACACACACACACACAGGAACACACACCTGGTTAATATAGCACACAAACCCTGTGTATACCACCTTCAAACAGCTTATATCATATAGGCCTGATGCACACAGGATCTACCGGAGGTGTCCTGTGCCTGGAACATGAGATTAAAGGAATGAGCCCACTGTGACTATCAGAGATAAACAGCTCTGGAGGTGCTGCTTACAACTGCTTACACCCTCTGACAAACATACTGTGTACTGCCCACAGTTCTTCAGTGGATCAGGAAGCACTGATGCAAGCAAGCAGTTTATGTAAACAGAATCTAGAAAAAAAGTAAATAGCTTACAACTGTCCACTGGAGCCAGAACCGGAAAACAATCTTAAAAGTCTGGACATCGTCCTTTCAAATTAAAACAGCCTTCTGGTCACTTCACATTTACTTTTCATCACCTATAAATTCATATATGACAGGATGCCAGGTTAACAACTGTGCATACATGACCTGTATTATCTTGCTATTTTAATGAGATGGGTATTATTATTATGGAATTTTCCATTGTTGCATGTTGAAGAATCCCCTCTTTTCACTGGTAGTATGAAAACTGCATTACAAGTGAACTGAACTGTAACAGACTGAAACTGAAAGAAAACTGTTCTGAGTGCTACTACTTAAAAGTGGTACTGCAGTTTACAGGTGACAGATGGATTGGCAGACAGGAAACTGCCTCAGGCGAAAACACACACACACACACACATACGTGAGAAAGTTACGATTTGGACCAAACTGAGAGTCTAAGGCAAAGTTTTCTGGGGCAGTTGTTAAATACTTAAATACAACACTGACCACCCAAGACTAAAACTGAGGATATCGCTGCCTCTATTGCATCAATTTTTACCTTGCTTTTCTTACCATGCAAGTCCCCCAGATTTATGAATGTATGACTAAAGAATTGCTGGAGTACCCCTTTAAGGTCTTTTATGCAGCAATGAACCTATTTTGCAGGGCTGTTTTGCCTTGACTTAATTACCACACATTCTGACAAATGATATCCCATCAAACTTTAATTGTAAATAAAGAAGAACATATGTTTATATAACCTTCATGCTGTCAAGAACTAAAGCTTCAGAATCATCCTTTAAAATGGGAGTTGCAGCACTCAAATGAAAATTGAGCAAAAAGGAAATACTCGACCTTCATTCCTGTTTTTTTAATCTTACACATGGCTGACAGATGTCTGCATGAGCCCTCATCAGAACATAAGAGGGCCAAGTTTACTGAATGCCTGGGAATTCCTTGAAAAGAATATGCTATTGTACTTAACACCGTTGAGATAAACATCAAGGATTACTCCTTTTGTCCGCTAAATCTCTACCGGCTGCCATCTGTGTGTCTGCATGACTAAGATAAGATGAAACTCCAGTGTTCTCTTTGGGGAAATTGGAGAACTTGATCATAAAACAATGCTGTTCAAATTTACCTGCCTGTTAAATTGCAACCAAAGAAGAACCCAAACATCAGGGGAATTATCATTTACGAAGTCAATTTCCACACATAGTTGTGTTTGCAGTTATCATTAAACAGACATGCTTTGTGCTACTGCCTGCATTTATACCATCCACCATCTGTCTGCACGATTATCAGGAAGAGTTACCTTGAGTTTCACCCAGGATGTTAAATACTTAAAAGTCAAGGAGTTATCCTTTAAAAGTTTTCTGGGGCAGTTGTTAAATACTTAAATACGACACTGACCACCCAAGACACGTTGACACATGTGAGCACACACACGCACACACACCTCCAACTGCCTCAGTCAGGTGAAGAACAACATCAATAACACTGCAAAGGCAGGGGGCACACCAGGTGAGCTGGAGGGTGGTGAGGGTGAATTCTAATGGCAGCTGCAGGCACAGCAGTGTAGAAACCTTCAAAGAGGAAGCTCTACCTTTACACACTGTTTTTCTTTTCTTTTTTTTTTTACTTCTCTACCTTCAAACAGTAAATCAGACTCTATTTTTATGTCTTTTGCCTGAACAACTGCTGCATGATTAATCAGACAAAAATGCATATGTTGGTTTTTATCTCACTGTACACTCCCATTGACTGTAAAGAAAGATGGACGACATGACAGCTCTACAAAAGTAAGGCCAAAACAGTTCGATCAGGTCCGGGTGGCTGGCTGCGGTATAGGTCATACACCCCGCCCCCTCCATGTTAGTGGATTGGACATGGGCCAGACTAAAAGAATTTAAGTATTTATACTTTTCCCCTCTAGCTTCACCATGAGGTTAATAATTTTGTTTATTTACTGAAATATCTCAACAACTATTGGATGGATTGCCATGAAATTTGGTTCACACGTCCCCTGACTGATCATCTAGTGCCACCAGCAGACTAAAGTTTCACTTCACTTTCACAGTGAAATATCTTATCAGCTTCAGTTGTAAGTTTAGTGCTAATTAGCAAATGTTAGCATTCTAACACAAAAAACTAAGATAGATGGAAGCTGCAACCAGCCGTGTCAGGTTACACAGAACAGATCACGTAGGCAGGAAGTCAGACACATTTTCACATTTGAAAATTAAAAGCCCTGTGCTCACCCGACTGTAAAACAATTTAACTACGTCATGGTGGAAGCACATAAATCAAGCAGTATGTCCAAATTAACAAAATATAGGGGACAAATCGAGTTTAGATTTAGTATAGAATTGAGTATAGGTTAGACCAGAGAACATCAAAGATCCAAGATGAAACTGGGAGAAGGGTGGGACTGAGAGAAAAGGGCCATCTGCTACTTGAGCACCATGGACAGTGCCATGGATATATCAATACACAGCGCAGTCAGGCTGCTGATATTTCAGAGCCATGGTCAGGGCCATAGATTTTAACTTGCACAAGCCTCAGTCAGATAAAGCATCAATGAGTAAGACAGACTAAACTAACTAAACAGCCCTGCTGTGCCATATTAGCAAAGTCATTCCAATACAAATAAAGTGCCTTTTGTGGCAGGGATAAACATGTTCCTAGTATGATGTTATTTATAAAGTTGCATCCCTAGACAGCTTTCATAACAGCACACCTCTCAATGTGATGGCAGTAATCCCTCCATTTTATCATCAGACTGTACATCTCCTCCTCCTGTGTCACTCTGATGTACAGTTGGACACAATAGCTTATGGCAGATTCATAGCATGATAATAGTAACCTGTGTATGATAACTATTATAATGCTACCATTACCAGGTGCAGGCCTCTTACACGACACCAAATAGCAGCAAATTGCAGTCATTACTTGCGCCTGGACAAATACCACGCTAGTAATACAGCCTATCTGATAGAGGGAGGAGGAAAAAAAAAACATGTCACGCTCAAGCACAACAGCGAGGGAGAGAAGTTTATTCAATGGGGCTTTGTGGTAGTGGGGCGGATGATGTATTCCAATGGAACAGTTCAATTATTGAGTTTTAGAAAACAGATAATGGGATGGGAAACGGGAGATGCTCAGCCAAAGACTCTTTGTCTTACTGAGGTGGCTAGTGAGTGTGTGTGTGGGTGTGTGTGTGTGTCTGACAGTAAGTAAGTGAGAACCACCTATTTATATTAAATATGGTATTTTCATCCCCGGCCTATTTGCTGCGGCAGAAGGAAAACACATTCATCTGTGGACAGTGGTGGGAGGCGGGGAGGTGGAAGGCAAGGAAGGGGGGGAATTAGGAGAGGAGGTCGGGCAAAATAGAAAGAATGAGATTGCAATGAAAACATGTCCATTTCACCTGTTAGTTTTAGTCTTCAAACTGATAATGGACAGCATTTGTGACAAAAAAGAAAAGAAACAAAAAACTTCCATTGGGATTCAGATGCTTTTTTTCCCCTTTTTGGTCATGTTTTTCTGGAGTGGAGGAAAGAGGGGGAACAGGGGAGATGATGGGGGGGAGGGGGGCGTTTATTACAAATAAATAACAGCTACAAATGAGCCTCTCTCATTTGGGTCATGATAGAGAGGCTCTTAATTTGCCTAGTGGCTGATGAGAGGAGGGGGTTAGAGAGTGGAAGGAGGGGGAGGCGGGGGATGAGGGACGCAGAGAGAAGGATGGATGAGAAAGACACACAAATGTAATTGCGACTGATGTTTCATTCCACATATGGGGCCCCGTGCGGTCCCGGCTAGCCGCAGCTATAGGCCCGGCTGTAATTGTCCCATCTGTATAATATGGGAGAGAATATAAGGCGCAATCACGACACAATAGGCTGATGGATGGCTTATTCTGCCCGCCAGCAGGATTTTAAGACTGCCATACATACGCACACGTAACCAGCAGCAAAGTGGCCGCAGATACGCAATTTATGGTGTGCACATTCTGACGTACACTATTTGCACATAAAGATGGTCGGCACATGTGAGTTAATAAAGTATATGAACTTTAACATGTGGATGTGAATAACAGTTGAAAACAAGGTTGCTCTCCACATACACAGCATGGCGGTACATCCACTCTGGATAAAAGACGTACAGTATAAATACACACATAAATACACACATAAACACACACACTCACACACAGGTGTATAATAAAAAATAGCAAGATCTAAATTTCTTTCAGAAATTTAAAGTCTTTTATTTATTTATCTGTCTGTCCAATTTACTTTCTTCTCTCTCTGCCCCTTTGTCTTTCTGTTGTGCTCTCATCTGTCATGCATTTGGCTGGACACACTGAAAAACACAGCAAATGAGGCCATAGATCACAAGTAGACACCGACAGACACTAACTTGGAGGAAACAGACAGAGAGCGAAGAGAAAAAGAAGAAAAATACAGAGCCGGGTGGAGAGAAGATCTCTCTGTCATCATCATTATCCTTATCCAAAAGTACATTCTTGTTTTCGTAAGCTCTTGTAATCACTAGCAGGTATTAGCCATATCCCAACAATAAGAGCACAATGGGGAAACTTTAGTAGTTTCATATCCAGAGGCTACGCCTTTGACAGCGTATATGATCAGCA